CACTTATGAAGCATTTTTGAAGAACTGAAGGTGTCACTACGTCACCATGTGTCACTCGGTTATTTAACTTCTCTGAAAAAATGAGACAACATGACATTTTGACAACACAGGAGGATTAATGAGGAAGGCACTTATGAAGCATTTTTGAAGAACTGAAGGTGTCACTACGTCACCATGTGTCACTCGGTTATTTAACTTCTCTGAAAAAATGAGACAACATGACATTTTGACAACACAGGAGGATTAATGCAAAAATAAATTCCAATCATACTTTATAAAGCATCATTTACAGGTATTTCATCGTCAGTAAATGAATCCTCATTATCGTTTGGTTCAACCTGTTTATATAATCCTTTCATTTCTTCTTTCAAAACATAACACCATGTTTGTTTACCATCTATTCTTACCTGTTTCTTATCACATTTATCCTTAATGCTCATTTGGAAATTCTTGTCTTTCATGTCTGATGGTTTGCAGAATAGAGCATTTTTACACGTCATACCTGCACTCAATTCATCATAATGTGTATTTATCCATACATCTAAAGGATTTGTTGATAACTCGATTAAATCTTGTTTGGCTTCAGTCATCTATGATTCGTACATTAAATGATGAAAGGTCATATTGCATAAAATATTAAAAGGTTATCATAAAATTCCTTAGTGCATGAATCCATTAAATTCTTGAAGTAATCAAATTGACCCTTGAATTTACCATTAACCCTTAAAACTACGTATCTTCTGTCTCCAACTTCAATTTTGACGGGGTAGACGTTATTAGTTACGAAAATGAAATTGGCAACATTCTGAGCTGTTCTTCTGATTCTTTTCATTAATTCTAATCTCATTATCCGTAATAATTGATTTCAAAAGCGTTGAAGTTTGCGAGTCTATCTTCACCTACATTCTTGAGTTCATTAAGTACAAGAAACATTTTATTTTCAACTACTGAGTTGAAATTACCCGTTAGCTCACTTATTTCAGTAATGTTTTTACATGAATAACCTGCGAGAAGTTCAGAATAATGTCTGTAAATCTGTTTTTACCTGTTCCTTGAAGTCCTTTCAAAATAATTGCTGTTTCATTCTTGATTCCAGGATGTTGAATCATTGATGCAATCCAGCCGAGAAGGTATTTATACACTTCATCGTTATTATCACAAATGGCTTCTTTAATGAAATTCATAAACATCTCAATTTTTGAGTAATCAAGCTTTTCAAGAATGTTGTATTTATAACCCTGAAACGTTGAGAAAAACATCTGGAGAATCAGATTTAAAGCAAACACCCTTAACGGTTAATGAAGACAATTGATTTAATAGTACGTCCCATGCTGTTATGGTTTTACCTTCTTCTTTAAATAATTTAATCATTTTGAGTGACTCTTTCATGTTTGACTGAAGAACAAATGATATTTGATTCATTTTGTCGTGGATATTATAGTCCTTTTGAATGAAATATTTGTTTCCACAATCTACAAAACGGATTACACGTGATAAATCCTCAATTACTTCAGAACTGTTTTTATACTGATGATTTTCAGCCCTGCGTCTAATATCTGTTATCAAAAACGAGTCATCAAGTTTGATATCAAATGTTATTTTTGGCTTACGTAATAAAGGTAAAACATATTCATCATAATATTCCTTTTGATAAAGTTTTAGAATCTTCACCAAAACAAATGGAGAAATCATTAAATGTGCATATCTACTACGTGCTTTTTCAAAATTACTTTTTGCATTTTCAGTTAAATTGCAGAAATTATAAACGTTATCGTATGCTTCATTAATTAAATGATTAGGTAACGAATTAATTGCTTGAAACAGTGTGAATAATGTAACTTCTTTTTCTAAATTCATGTTTCCACCATCATTATGTACTTCAAAATCACAGATGCCATCAACTATGCTCTGGGCAAGTTTATCGTCAATGTTTACATCTTTGTTTTCATTCATTATACTCTTTATTTCTTCGCTCTTCTGTTCAACTCTTACCTTAATATTCAAATCATTTAATATATCGTTTACTGTTCTGGTTAATGTTGAATCATAACTTCCACGAATGAATGAGTATGTATTGATTGGTTCTGATGCATTCTTGCGAACTCTTGAATCAGCCATAACTACTAATGAACGCTTTGAATCATCAATAGAAGTCATTATGTCAATATCATAATCATTGCAGGAATAACATTTAATCATTCTGTTCGAAACTGCATAGAAGAAATTAGTGTTGCAATAAATGTGAAGACCTCCTGATGCGGTTTTAACGATAACATCTTTATCCGAAAGTTTTGATAAAATGTCTTTTCTAACTGTTTCTTTAAGTTCATCATTGTATGATTTATTGATATCAACATCTATAATCGTTAAATTTGAAATTTTATTTAGTAATAAAGCCACACCAGTTTTCCTTCCTCTTCCTCCATCATGTTTGAGGTAGTTATGTAAATCAATCTTGTTTTCACCAATTCTTTCGTTGAGGGTTTTAGTTTCTGCCACAACTAATTCCTCAACTAATGAATCAATAACTTGTTCATCAGAAACGATAAAGTTACTGTTGCTGTTTGTTGCTGTCATTTATATAGGAATAAAAAAATAAAAATAATTTTAAAACTAACTTTATTTTTGGGCTGCATCAAATTTTCGTAAATGTTGTCAAAATGTCATGTTGTCTCATTTTTTCAGAGAAGTTAAATAACCGAGTGACACATGGTGACATAGTGACACCTTCAGTTCTTCAAAAATAATTAATTATTGAATGACCTGTGTTGTTGTCTAAATGTCATGAGTTAAATAACCGAGTGACATAGTGACACCTTCAGTTATTCAAAAATAATTCATAACTACCTTCCTCCTGTGTTGTTGTCTAAATGTCATGAGTTAAATAACCGAGTGACATAGTGACACCTTCAGTTATTCAAAAATAATTCATAACTACCTTCCTCCTGTGTTGTTGTCAAAATGTCATGTTGTCTCATTTTTTCAGAGAAGTTAAATAACCGAGTGACACATGGTGACATAGTGACACCTTCAGTTCTTCAAAAATAATTAATTATTGAATGACCTGTGTTGTTGTCTAAATGTCATGAGTTAAATAACCGAGTGACATAGTGACACCTTCAGTTATTCAAAAATAATTCATAACTACCTTCCTCCTGTGTTGTTGTCTAAATGTCATGAGTTAAATAACCGAGTGACATAGTGACACCTTCAGTTATTCAAAAATAATTATAACATAACTACTTCCTCCTGTGTTGTTGTCTAAATGTCATGTTGTCTCATTTTTTCAGAGAAGTTAAATAACCGAGTGACACATGGTGACATAGTGACACCTTCAGTTCTTCAAAAATAATTAATTATTGAATGACCTGAAAACATTAACATAAACATTAACGTAAACATTTATTTCTGTAGTTCATCCATTACTTCATTACCTAATTAATTACAGACATAAAATATATTTAGTTCATTCAATAAACACGGTACCATGCGAATATAGTCACAAATGGTGGCATGTAATCTTTACCCAAGCCTGTTGGATTTGTTGTGAAAGTGTGTGACTGATTTCCTCCTGGTTCAGTTGGTCGAAAAGTCTTTTTTGCTGAATGGTTATAATCTGGAGATAAAACATCATTGCCAGCTTTATAGTCTGAGTTGTATAATGGGTGGTCTCTTAATGAGTGGCTATGGTCACCAGAAAAGTTTGTAGTTCCTGTATGAGTGTGCGGTGGAAGGTTTGCTTCAGTAATTTTCTTCGAACCTCCTGTTTGCTTTGAATATCTAGCACAATAGAGGAATTTATCTACAATCTGTTCCCACATACCGAAACCTAAAACTTCTGAAGGATTTGTTGAGTTCATTGACGTATAAATAGAACCAATGGGGTAAATCATCTCAAGAATTGTATTTAATCCATTATGAATATTGAATTTATTATATAATATTGAATTTGGGTGAGTATTTAAAACTGGTCTTGTTATCAATATTAACGTATTATTTTTGAAAATTGCTTTTCTAACATCTTGAAATTTTGTGATTTCAGACCAGTTTCTTCCATCACTACTGATATTTACTAAATCACCACATCCTAAAGCAATGAAATACCCATCAATATAAAATAAATTTGTAAATCTATAATTTTGAGTAAGTTTTGGAGTGAATGAATAAACCAATTCCCAATTTGATAAATCCTGTGATAAATAAATATGTCTGTTATAACTTACAGGATATGAATAGACCATTTCACCTGAAACGAGAACATAAACATTTGATCCATAACATAAAGCTTCAATGTCTCCATCAGCTTGAAAAATTTGTTCAAATTGACCTTGTGATATTGAAGATGATCTATAAATTTTATCATTTTGTAGGATAAAATACATGTTGTTAATGTAATACCACTTACTTGTATAATCAATTTTCAAATCTGATGACATCATACTAAACATATAATAATTTATCCCATCCTCACTAATGAAAATTTGATTGACTTCATAAATTAGTACCCATTTATTATTAACACATCTAATAGGATTATTTGAATATTTAAATTTAGCATCTTGATTTAAATTACATTTGAACCATTGGATACAATCGAATGAATAACAAGGGCAAAAATCATCTTCAACCGTTATCATTCCCATAAATTTACCGTTATTATATTCAACATATAAAATTCTTGGATTAATGATTGGCTTTCGTGTATCAGGATTCAAAACAGATGGAGTAAATGATTCATAGTTTTTAAAATCATTTGTTTTAAAATAATAAAGCACTCCAGCTGTATAAAATAAATACATGGTCACTCCATCGAAACATATCCATTCAAAAGAATCTATATCAAAGGTTTTATCTGATGATTTCATAAAATTTAAAAATGGCGGAGTAAAAATAGACCTCTGATTGTTTATTTCTTCATTAACAAATGATATATTAGCTTTCTTATTTAACTCACTATCCACATATTCCTTATCTGCTTTCTTATTTAACTCATCGTTAACATATTCCTTATCCGCTTTAAGGTCTAAACATCCTGAAACCCATCCTGTATCGGCTTTAGTTTTTAAAATCTTTGATGTCCATTCATGATACCATTCAACCATTTCTTTAATTTCATTATCTTTTTCGTTAACATAAACCAAATTTGCCTTCTTCATTAACTCACTATCCACATATTCCTTATCTGCTTTCTTCATTATGTCATTTAGGAAACCTTTTATGAATTCCTCATTTAAATTAAATCTTCCAATCTTCAAAACTTTAGGAAATGCATTTAATGCGTAATATCTTTGTTCTTCTGGTGGAATTGATGTTATATCATCCGTTATACCTTTAATTTTTGAATTCATAAATAAAATTTCTTTTATATTTGATATCACCGCACCACCTTTGCAAACGAATTCGAAATGGTCATTTTTCAATACTATCTCCAAATCTCCATATTTCAACCTTTGCGTTTGTTCTGCCGTCTTTGAATTATATGCATATATGGCGTATGTAATGGTCTGAGGGACCTGGGTGCTTTGTGCCTTAAGTTGCTGTGGTTGCTGTTGTTTAATCATTTATTATGATTTAAAAATAAATATTTAATCAGTTATCTCATCACCTATTTTTTCTATTTGAAATTGCCATAATATTTCATTCATGAATTCTAAATCACAATCAAATAGGTCAGTTATTCTAAATTTAATATTTGATAAATCTTTTGAATGAAGAATAAATGAATTCCCAGACAATTGAAACGGATATGATAAAGAAAATGTGTTTAAGTTGATGGATAAAATGTTTTGTATTGATGGGTAAGAGTTAGGGTCTAATGTTTGATGTGAAAATCTCATTGGGGTATTAACTTTATCACATTTGATTAAAATGAAATTGGAACCAGTGTCAGAATACAAAACATCCCCAACATCTTTTTCAAAATTTAATATCCCCAACAATGAACGAAGATGAGGAGTACAAAATTTAATTTTCAGCGGAAATTTAATAAGGTTATTTATTTCATCAAGTTCAAAAAGTTTATCGGGTTTTGATTTAAAATTTTCTTCATACCATACGATAAATGATTCATTTAAATAACTTAAAATCGTGTTAATATCCCATTTCGCTATCACATTATTTATATACATATCATACGTTTTTTCATGGTCATCTTTAATAAATGATATATAATCTGAAGGGTCTAAAAGAATGGGATTAAATTTCCCACTCACAGAAACGAGAGTAACATTATAAATTCCGCTAACTGTTAAATTTAATTCACAGTTATTATTCGAAATAATATTGATAATTGACATTTTTATTACGATTAAAAATATGGTAAAGCGTTATTTTCCAGTGATAAATAAAACTAGAATAAGATTACCTCAAGAATTCATAAATTCAACGAATAAGAAATTCATTCATGTTATAAATTTTAGTGTTTTCAGAAAATATGAGTCAATGTCATATTCATCAACAGGTTATATTTCACTTCATTCAAATTTAGTTCAATCAAACCCATATAATGACCATTTCATAAGATTTTCAGATGGTATTAAAAATGTAATTGATAGATTAAAATATGAACAGATTGACAATATCGAATTTTTGGAATTTTGGTTTAAATATCCTGATGGAAAAAAAGATTGAAGTTAAAGATAAAGCTGATACTATAACAAAAACAATTACAATGACCGATCCAGATAGTGGGGAACAAAAAGAAATAAAACAAACGATAGAAACCGGTGAAAGGTCAATTATTATCGATTATGATTCAAAGGATTATTATTCGATAATGTTAATGCTTGAATATTAAATAGCCTTAACAAAGAATTTTTCAAGTGATATTTTATATTCATCAACTATTTTATTATAAATATCATTATATGTTAAATGAAGTTCAGTTGTTGTTCCGTTCTTTGATATCTTAATTGTGCTAATATCCTTTATAGGATTTATTTTTGCAACTGTTCCGCAGCATGAAACCTCATCATCTATGAAAAATTGAATCTTAACGTCTGAATCTTGAACATCACAAAGAATGGCGATAATGTGAATTAATGATTCATAAGGTAAAATAATTAAACCTGATTGGTCAATTAAATTTATTATTGAATCATAATTATTAATTATTATATCACGGTAAATTTTCATTAATTCAGAATTAATGTCTATTTTATATGGCGCATTGCGACTGGAATCGTAGATTCCTGGGTTCTCGATGTTTGATGAAAGAGGTGGGGGGTATGTTGGATAAGTGGGAATTTCAACAGGTTCTTTACCAGGTTCAGATAAAATGATTGGGTCTCCATCTTCTTTATTTTGCTCCTCCTCCTTTTTCGGTAAGTCACGAGTTAATAAATTTGGTTGAGTTGCTGACCTTGTTAATTCAGGGCTAACATTAACTTTAACATTTTGAATAATTCGTGATTTATCATCATTTACGTTATAACCAACCGTAATCTCTGCTTTTGCGTTTGTGTTCTTTTGACTTGTGAAACGTCTTCTCATTTATAATTGAATAAAAAAAAGAAAAATATATTTAAAGTTTTATTTAGTTGTTACGGTAATATCCCAAGGTTCATCATTGTTTGCTTATACTTTCTTTGTAACTGCACCAATTATGTTATTGATATTGCTTTGAGTTTCTTCCAGTCTTATTTTATCATTTACAATATCTTTAATCATTTCATTACATGCATTCTTAAAACCATCTGATTTTTCTAATTTACATCTATCACTTTCTTTAATTAAATCAAAGTTATAACCTTGTTGAGAATAAAGTGGTTTCTTTATCAATTCCTTGAACGCTTCTGAAAGTGAAGATGAAGAAATTCTTGCCACTTGAATTGGTTTAAATTCTGCTTTCATTGCTTCTTTCTGTTCATTGAACACTGGATCGAATAAAGCAACTTTAAAGAATTTCTTAGCTGGAATTTCAGGTCTCAAATTTGCATATTGACCATCAAACTGATTAACATATCGTGGTAATCCATCCGGTCCCTCTTCAATAGCATTTAATTCTTCATTGAAATAAGAATATGGATTATAACGGTATGAATTAATTGGACCATTTTCACCTTCTCCAATGTATTGTTTAACAGCTTTTCCATTTTCATCAAATTGTATAGGATAACGTTCATTATATGCTTTACGTTTAGGATAATCAGTTATCGTTAATTTGTAACCATTTATGACTTTAATATTACCTTGACCATCAGTAACGAAAACTTCATTTATACCATCAGGTTTTCCATTTGGACCCGTAATGTCTGCTTCGTGTGCTTCCCAATTTGGTCCATGACGTTTGGCATATGCTTGAGCTTCTGGTAATGTTAAAACGTTTCTCATTTGTTTAACATCTTTTTGAAGACCAGCAACAATATGAACTAATTCTTTCATTCCGTCTGGAACTTTCATAGTTCTATTATATGCACCCTTTTTGTTTGTCCCTTGTTTTAATGGAACCTGTAGAAGATTTGCTATTTCTGTCATGTTTAATTATAAATAAAAAATAAAAATTAATTATAAAAAGTTAATCAAATTTAACACTTCCTTTATTTAAATCAACTATTATTTTTCCATGTTCACCTAATTGCTGATATTGTGTGTAAAGTTCATTAATGCTCATTGGTAAATTCACTTGATAAAGCATAACGTTCAACTGTTGACGACTAAAACCACTGAAAATGAAAAGGGTGGACAGGTTTGATTTAATGTTTGTGCTTAATGCTTTGAAATATTGAACAGCCATAAAGAATGAACACTGAATGTGTCGACATTGAGTTAATAACTGATTAAAATATGATTTCTCATTAGTTATTAGTTTTGATTTCACGGCATCATCTAGAAAAATTAGTGAATGCAAAAATTCTTTATCAAAATTTGAAATAGAAAGTGTTTCAAATAATTCATCCCGTTGTTTATCAATAATTTTATCCTCTAATCCTTGCTTCTTGATTGTATTATATAATTCTTTATACATTAAAAAGTTTTTTAAATAATCTTCTGCTTCTTCTTGTGATAAATAAATAATTGGAATTTTGATTAAATGCTTTAAAGATTCAAATGTATCATCTGAAGGTGAACCTGAACGGTTGATATAAATTAACACGTGTGAATAGGGTGAAGTGTTAGCAATAATGATAATTTGTTTTAATATCGTTAATGTTTTACCTTTATTCTGTTTACCAATTGCTGCAGTGATTGAATTTAAATAACATTCAGAATATGGAATTTTCATTAATTTTTCCTTAGATAGAGCATTTCTATTATCACTCAATGCTTCATTAATCATATCATCTACGTATGTATTATATACTCCCGCTAATTCTTCATAAGGGGTGGATGAATTTAAATCCATTTAATCAAAAATAAATTTATAATTTTAAACATTTCTATTCATCAATATTTCATCATATGAACTTCTATACTGTGGTGGTGTACCTGTTGGATGATATTTCAAACCTTCATCCGGTGTCCATGTCCAATATGTAGTCCTAGTAAACCAAACCTGAGGAGGATTTGTCACCTTTGAACAGTAAGTGTCATTTTCACCCTGAATGATTGGATAAGCTTTCACTTGTACTGTAACTTGTGAGTTGAAAGTTTCTAATCCATCAAAGAATATACCCGCTCCATCACGTTGAACTGGAATAGTGCATAAGAATGAAGTTTGGTCTTTCCATGTTCTAGCTAATGGCGTGCCATTATCATCATTCAGTGGTCTAGTTAATGAGTCCTCGTATTCTTCTGTGCATTCATTCACTCCATCTAAATCAGAAGCTTGAAGCATACGTGTAAAGAATATGTCGCCCACTGTGGTCATCGCTTGATCGGGGAAGTTTCTGGAATCTATAGTGACCTGAAGACCTCGAAGCATTGGATTTTCTAAAACTGTTCTTTGCATTGCATTCTTCGGAAATGTTAACACAACATCTGTAACATTATGAAGAGCGTATGAGAAATCTGAGCTAATACCTTCAGGAGTGATGCAACCTCTATTTAGTGAACGAACGTCAATATGTTGAGCTGGAATCATGAATGGATCTTCCTTACTAAATAAACGTGGTATTGCTTTAACTGATTCTTCAATTAAACCGTATCCTGGTGTAATGCATTTATCCTCTAAAACTTCCATCTTTGTGCATGAAATAATAACGTCATCAACTGTTGCGTCAGCAGATGTAGCGGCTAAGCTTGTAATTAATTTGGCAGGAAGTCCGATTTGTTGGAATTTGCGATCATATTTATAAACATGATTCATAATCTTTTCATAATTTTCATCAGTTATCTTTTCATAAACGTAATTTTGTAAATCAGCAACTCTTAACGGGTCAACCTGACAAAATACTAAAGTATCCCTGAAAACATAATATTTAAGAATGATTTCACCAAATGATTTAGGATAATCATCGAACGCCTGAAATGCTAACAAATCATTTACCGGAATAATCATATCAAAAGTGACATCAACTTCTTCATTTGCTTTCTTGAAAACTTCTGAAGGGTCAATATATTTACCACATACTGAGTTATCATATTTTTGAACATTATTATATAACGAATGAACAAACTTTTTAACTTTCCTTTCTGATTTTGGTTTATATGTTGCAAATGCGAAAGATTCACGGGCGCAATCCATCTGAAGATAACCGGCATCACCTCTTTCGGTTTCTACTTCTAATTGTTTAAAGCTTTGATTTGATGATTTGTAACCAACGAATAAACGCATGCATTTAAAAGCGGCATCACATGTGAAAGCTTTATTTGAAACTAGAGTTGCTTTAACTTTGCGTTTAATATATGTGTCACCTAATTGGTTCACATCATGAGCCGGATTTGTAATTCTTAAATGAGTTTGTTTATCATCAAAATATGGAGCATCAGAGTCATAGCATGAACTTTCAAGTTCTCTATAATATCTTCTACCGTCATTCTTTGCGAATATTTCATTTATCTTTTCGAATGAATGAAACACATTTCCATTAATCGGTTTAGTGTTTGGCACCAAATAGTTAGTCGTCATTTATTAATAAATAAAAAATCAAAATTAAAAGATGAAAATGAATTTTTAATTTTAATGAAATAATCAACTATGGCTGCAGGATTCTTTAAAAAATTATGGGATAAAGTAAAAAGAGGAGCGCATAAAGTTTGGGAAACAATGAAAAAAGGAGCAAATTGGATATTTAAGAATAAAGAAGCAATTAGTGACGTTGCTGAATCAATAACACCAAAAGCCGCCCCAATAAGAGAAATATTAAATAAAGGAGAAAAAGTTTATCAAAGACTACAACCGATACTAAGATAAAAATAATATTTATTTATTTTTCCACTATCTACCTCCTATTTTATTAAGTATTCCTTCAGCAATTCCACCAATTGCGTTACCTGCTTGTGCTCCCATTGCCGGATTACCTGCTTTAGTACCTAATACTCCACCTATGATAGTTCCTGCCATTTTCGCTACTGGTGCCAAAAAGTTTGCAACGGGTTTAATAATATTTTTATGACCCCAACCCGCAGCTTTCTTAATTCCTTCCCATAATTTTTTAAAGAATCCTGCAGCCATAGTTGATTTAATATTAATTAAAAAATATATTTCATCACTTATATTCTAATTTTTATTTAATGATAAATGAAACCAATTTTAAAAATAAATGAAACAGAGGAGGAAGAAATAAATGAAAGTAAAGATGATAAACAAAAAATAAACATTATTAAACCAATTACTGAAATAAAAATTTTTTCATCTGTTGAAGAATTTAATGACTATTATGCTAATAATAAAAAATTATTTGAAGAATTGACAACGTGTAAATTGAATAAAATGTTTAAAGTTGATGGATTCAAAATTTCAAAAATAAAAGGAGTGGTTAGTTTGAAATCTATTCCTCAATCAAGAATCACCTCATTAATGAAAATAGATGATTTAACAAAAAGAATAGAAATTATTGAAGAGCGAATAAATCAAATTATTGATTTCATAAATTCAAATAATCATTAGTTTCAATTTCTTTTTCTCGTTTATGAGGTCTTTGATTATGACTTCATTGATTCCATTCATGATTTAAACACTTGTTTTAATTAATCGCGGAATACCTGACATCATCTATATATAGCTTCTTTTATAAAAGATAAAATAAATTATTTTTTATTTCATTATGTATGGGCTGAGTGTAAATGTCTTACAATTTTGAAAATTTTTTAAATCTTGATTTATTCAAAAACGTAAGAATAAAAACCGTAAGAATCATACATTTTTTTACTTCATATGTTAAAAAAAATGATACAAAATCGTTCAATATTGTATGAATTCTTACGTTTACAAAAAAAGTCACACAACCCATCAACATATACTACTCTTTAAAATCTGATTCTGAATCTGAAAAATATTTATAAAAGCATTCTTCATTATGATTTCATTAATTTTCTGTTTGTAGTTTTCAATTATAACGGCGCTTTCAGAATTTTGATATAATTACGTATTTTAAATTTTTTAATGCTTC